AAAGCTGATGCAAAAGTTTACTTATTAACTGAAATTGAGACATTTGCGATTCGAAATTAAATTTGCATCAAATAATTTATAAACGCCAATTTGAACGTTGACGGAAAACTCGCTTGGCCATCTCTTAAGAAACGGCACGATTAAAAAAATTGATTCAGCTTTCGGTAAACTACTTTTCTCTTTCCAAGAGAAATGCTATCCAATAGTATATTCACTTCGAAAAAAAAAAAAAAAAATTTCAATCGACTCGTTCGCTTCAAACTGTTGGGAAATCTGTCGGAAAATCTCGCCAATGTGTGCGCGGTTTAACGATGGCAACAACCCGGCATTGCGGAACGAGATCCATCTTCCGGGAGAGACGCTTTGGTCTCCCGTAAACAAATAACGAACGCTCGATTACGGGCGAGTCGTGGAATCCCCATCGTCGTCGTCGTCGTCGTCCTCGTCTCCGTCGTCATTGCAAAAGGTATATCGCCGTGTATTTGCTTTCGGTGACGGATGTAGCACATGGAGTCTGGCTAGCAGAACGGCGTCTCGAGGTTGGTCACGACGCCGTCGTTTGTTCGCGCTCCATACGAAGCCCCGGTCACGTTTCTTCCGCGCTTTATGCCGCCCAAGAAGTTCGAAACTATGGGCCCGGACGGCGGCGGACGGTGGAAACATAAAATTCCAGACAACATAACTCACCCATTTCCAGACTATTCCTTCGAGAAATTATTTTGCAGGTGGGTGGCTCTTTCTTTCTCCCTTCCTATCTCCCTCTTCTATTCCATAGCCCCGCGGCCCGTAGAGAAGCGTTTTCTCTCCACACGTAAGGAGAGAATACGCCGAGAGAAAGATTGTTGCGCGCGATTCTCGGCGCACGAGAGAAGCCGGAAAGCTCCTTCTCTTCCTCTATCCCTCCCTCCCTCTCTCCCTCTCTCCCTCCCTGAAACATTAATCATATCCGCCCTTCCCGCACATCGCAGACGCCTCGGATAAATCGCCGATGCGTCTGCGGTTAATTAGGCGATTAGGCAGCCGTTGCGCTGTTCCGCGCCTCCGCCGGCGGAATTCCGGCCCCGCATTCTTACATCCGATTGTAACGTTGTAATAGTCGGCGTGATCGATCGATCCGTTATAGCTATGTGCCAGCGGATATAGAGAGAGAAGCGGAACGAGACTGATCGCATTGCATAAGGAAAGTGCTACTTTATGGCGGTTTCCCGAGGCGAAAATTACACCGTGAAATTAATCTGTGACAAAATTGTGCCTTCGGCCGACTGGTTAATCTGAGACATCCTGGATTGGTCTGGCGGGGAAAGAGTAAGTTCTTCCTTAATTTCCTTGAAATCCTTCTCTTTTTTTTTTTCTCTTTAAAGTTTCGCTCACTATCTCGCGCCTGAATTAATGGGAGATCTAACTCGGTATACGCTAATTACGGATCTGAATAAAGTGATTAGTGACCTAATGATGGCGAGGTTACCGATATATTGCGTCGCGGTAATCGCGCATTATTTCACCAGTCACGTTTTGAGGGGGATTTTAAACGTGACGGTTGAACCGGTGGGATGAACGTGATCATCCCTTAATTATAACAACTCACGTATCTTAGCTATCTCGCGGGCGGGATTATTCTCCGGCTTGTGTTAATTCAATTTTCCCATATACGTATTGACACAGACTCCGCTTGGAATCCTGCAACGCTGGCTACGATGAGGAGAACGTAATAACGTGTTACGCGAGATGCGTTTAATCATTTCGCCGACACGGCGATAATCCACGGGAGGCGTTATGCATCCCGGGAAGAGTGTTCGTGCCTGCGTGTAATCGGATGTAACGCAAATCGTATAATTCGTTTAAAGTCGCGTAAACTTGGCTCGAAACTTCGCTGACTCTCCGGAGTCGTCCCTGAAGTACAACGTATCCCGATATTCCGTGAAGTACCGTGAAGTATCGTGACGCAGCCGGCGTATCCGAAACGGCAGGCTTTACGGAAGCTAAATGAGATTTAGCGCTCGCGATAAGAGCGGCGTGAGACGGTGGAGAGACGGCGGCGTTTCACGACTGGATTCGGCGAGATCCAAAACGCGTTTTCGCTACCTCGGATTTCGGAGATGGACCATTATCGCGGAAGTCATCCGCCCGGCAAGCGCGTTCCACATTCTTGCGAAGTGCACGCTCTTAGCTACGTCGCCCCGGCTTGGCAAGCGGCGCGTCGAGAAACATTGCCGTGTCTGTAATGCGCTCGCTATTGCGCCACTCGACTCTGTTCCCCCCGTTCCCACTTCTTCCCCTTTCCCATCGCTTTCGATCCACTTCCCGGTAATCTCTATTCTTCCATCTGCGAGAACCCATCCTCGCTTCTGATGTTTAAACACGAGAAATCTGATGTACGGGGTGTGCGGAGAGTCGCGAAGTCTGTTTTCGGTAATGGATACGAGAGTGAGAGAAATGCTGTTTATCGAGTTGTTAATTGGCTTTCTCTTTGTTAATTAACCAACAGTTTGATCTCCATACGTTCAATCGTAGATAATCGTAAATTTGCGACGAAATTCAATTTCAGTTTCACGTATAAATTTTACTCGAGAGTAGAATTTTCATTTAATCGTCGGTCATAAAAGTTATAAGTTTAAATTATATAGAAAGAAATAATTTAATAAAATCTTTGACAAGAGAGACTTAAATTCAAGTTTATTAATGTTTATATTTTATATCGGATATGTAGAAGGATCATAATTATGCATGAAAAGTCTCACGAGCGCAAAGCTTTATCGTCGTAAAAAAAAAAAAAAAGAAAAAAAAAAAAAAAGAAGAAGAAGAAAGAAGAA